CCTACCTTCAAAAGGAAAGGATCCCTGACCAGTGGAGAACCTCTCAAACAATCCTTCTTTATAAGAAGGGCGAAAGGGAAGAGTCTCGCAACTACCGTCCAATATGCCTGCTGAGTGTGCTTTTCAAGCTCTTTACGAAGATTATTCTCATATCACTTTGGATCATCCAATCAATAATCAGAGAAGCACAACCTGCAGAACACGCTGGACTTCGCCAGGGATTCAGCTGCATGGATCACATCCAGACAATTTCGAGTCGAGGTTTGCCGAGAGTACCGCCTACCTCTCGTTCTAACCTTCGTTGACTATGAGAAAGCGTCGAGACTAACCATACTGACAGCGCAACCAAGGGGTGGACACATCTTACGTGAGGACATTGGTCGACTGCTACATGAACTGCTCTACAACGGTACGGCTTTCCCATCGTCCCCTTAACATACCATCTCGAAGGGGGTGCGACACGGCGACACGTGTCGCCAAAGCTGTCTACCGCCGCGTTGCAGTGGGTGATGAAATCAGTGGGTTGAAACGAGAGAGGTATACGAGTTGATGGAAGCCTCTCCAACCTTCGTTTTGCGGATGACATTATTCTCCTCTCGAGAAAATCCACTGAAGCGGAGATGATGTTGAAGAAACTAAACGAAGTCGGGAAGCAAATAGGAGTGCAAATCAACCGGAAGAAGACTCAGTTTATGAAAAACGCTTTTTGTGAGGATCAGGAAATGGAATAAGAAGGCTCTCCAATCGCGAGACGTCTCTTACGTATATCTCGGGCGTTTGCTGAACATGGAGAACGATTTGAAAGAAGAACTAAACAGGAGGCAAAGAGCAACTTGGGCAGCCTCCGGGCCCCTAAGAGAAGCTACAGACCAACTGACGGACCCAGAGCTCCAAGCCCACCTGTTCGATTTAACTATTCTCCCTGCATTCTGCAGGCAGCAGAGATGTGGCCTGACACTGATTACATAAAAGGCTCTCCGAACAACCCACAGAGCGCTGGAACGACGCCTTTTAAAGTACAACCGACGCACTCAGCATCTCGAACTTCGCAGAGATATGTCTCGTCAATGTCTCGTCTTCGCGATCCGCGATCCAACGGAATACGTTTCTAAGGCGAAGCATTGATGGGCTAGTCATATAATGAGGACAGACGACAGATGGACACTAAGAACTCTAGAATGGTTCCTCGCAAAGCAAAACGTCCTCGACGGAGGCCACCGAGATGGGTTGACGTGTTCGACACGGATGGACCAGCTGAGTTCTCAGTCGCTAACGAGTGATGGATTTGGACCTTGCGAACGTCGCCACCGGTATTTAATACCAGCTCGTGGATAACGCTAGCGAGGGAAAGAAACAGATGGAAACAGTGCTGTGACCTGCACGACAAGTGAAGACAGGTCGTCGAAGTATCTAAGTAAGTAGTAACGCACATACTTT